CCCAGTTGATTCTATGATTCTATATTTAGGCACACAAGGAAGTTCAGGATCATCTCACATAACTTAGCACACAGCCTGCACTTCAGTCTTCCTCTTTGGTAACTAAGGTTTTCTCTGCCATCCATTAAAGGAATTCAGCCATTCTCTGGGTGTGTCTATGTATTCACCTTAGAATACCTGAATGAGTACCTTAAAATATGCTTACATTTTAGATGGATAAAGCTAATGTGGTGAATCTTGAGTAAATGTGTTCTCTGAGTGTCGACCTTGTCCTTTACTGCTAAAACCTAACAAGGTGAATCCTGAGTAAATGCATTTTATTAGTGTCAACCTTGTCTTTTATTGCTCAAAGCCTTTTCAACTCTGAGTCACGGGAAAACACCAATTCTGTCTAAACATCATCTTTCAATACAACAGATGAAACTAAACCAGATTATACATGAGTTTTTCATTGTAGGAAGAAAACCACATTATCCCTTCTCTTAGTTTTCTCCATCCAACTCGATAAACCCTTTTGTAATACTTACTTTCTTTCCCCATTTTTTCTTCTTTTTCTCTTTCTTGCCTCCAAGAGAAAAGACTGGTTCTAAGGATTCTACTACATCAAGGTCCCAAACGTTGATAATTGGGGTCATGTTACCCACTGCAACATAATTTCCTTCAAAAAAAGACCCAGATACAACCACAGTTATTCAGAGTTATGAAACAGCACATTTGGCAATTCAACTTAATTCTTGTGTGTCAGAACCTTCTATTTGAACATAGCTGACAAGGAGCAACCTGAAAGTGTCAGCTGACAGCAAGTGTTGCTCTCCTTCCCCTTCAGTACCATTCAAAGAACCTGTGGGAAGTTCCATGTTTTGTTTGGCTTTGAAAGGAAAAAACAAACTCAAACAAAACCACATCCCCTGCATTATAGAAAATAAAAAGTACCTGTAAAACACAGGGAAAAGGTTTCTAAATACATAAATATTCAGAAATTTTGCTGTGGAGTTAGCCACAGTTAAGTTTGGAGTTAAGTTTGTGTGCAGTTAACCAACTGCATTGGCCATAATGAGTTTGAACAAAAGTAAGTTTTCATTTGCAAGCAGGAAATAAAGCAGATTACAGAAGAGCTTGCTCTGCTAATTGACAATAACTTAATGATTTTCAATAAAACCAGTCTTTTAGTCAAATCATTTGTTACAGCAGCATCACTAATGTGACTATATTACCAAAACAAAACACCTGATACTCATTCTTAACACCTTGGGTTTATTTCCATTCGTACTTTTCAAGTAAAAATTATTTAACTGGACATTTACAGTATCCTTTGTGACTTACCTGGTGATTCATCTGGACTAGGATCAAAATCCAACCACTCCAGGCTCAGAGGGTAAGCAGGCAAGATAATATCATGATGTACATAAAATGAGTCCTCTTCATGATTATAAACTGAAAAATAAAGTTATACAAGACATCAATGAGGAGGAAAAGCAAAGAACTAGAAACAGTTCACTTCTGCAAAAAGCAGATGTGGCAAAGGCTACATTGTGACCCTCCCAGGACAAATGTTCTGCTTCACAGAGTTACTCAAACAAACATAGAATCATAGAAATTAGGGGTTGGAATGGACCTTACAGATCATTTAGTCCCAAGCCCCTGCCATGGGCAGGGACACCTCCTCACTAGATCAGGTGGCCCATGGTTTCATCCAGCCTGACCTGGAACACTGCCAGGGTCAGGGCATCCACCACATCCCTGGGCAACCTGTGCCAGTGTCTCACTCCCCTTACAGTAAAAAACATTTTTCTCACATCCAACCTAGACTTTCCCTCCTTCAGTCTGAACCCATTACCCCTTGTCCTATCACTGCAGCTCCTAACAAAGAGTCCCTCTCTGGCTCCCTTGTAGGCCCTCCAGATACTGAAACGTTGCCCAGGGCAGGGGGTTGGGACTACATGATCTGTAAGGTTCATTCCAACCTTAAATTCTATGATTCTATATGATTCTATGATTTCCCTTTTCAACATAACCATATGGCACAGGCTAGGCATGACATACTCCCTAAATTCTCTGTAACAAATAAATCCTGTGTGACTTACCATGGACCTCCAAACTACAGCAGTCTTTGTCAACTCTGCCACAAAGGACCAGGTTGTCACTGGGCTTAATCAAAAAGTCCTCCTCTTCATATTGATCCTGAGCAGAAAAAAAGAGAGGACAAGGTATGTTAAGCAAGGAACAGAAATGCACAAAACTACACATATTTAGAAGGTCGAATCAGTTAGGAATTTTTAACCATAACTGATAACACTCAAAATGCAACACCCAGCTAAAACCATGTCATAGTGCTAAACAGAAAAAGGTAGAAACCAGATCCCATCACAGGGGGCCTGATTAGTCACTAACAGTCATACTGCACACAGTTATGGTGCCCTCAACAGAAGGACATGGAACTATTGAAGCAAGTTCAGAGGAGGCCACAAAGTCGCTAAGAGGACTGGAGCATCTCCCCTACGAAGACAGGCTGATGGAGTTGGGGCTGTTCAGCCTAGAGAAGAGAAGGTTGTGTGGAGACCTCAGAGCACCTTCCAGGATCTGAAGGGGCTCCAGGGAAGCTGCAGAGGGACTCTGTGTTAGGAACTGCAGTGACAGGACAAGGGGTAATGGGTACGAATTGAAGGTGGGGAAATTTAAGTTAGATATTAGAAAAACGTTTTTTCCTCTAAGGGTGGTGAGACACTAGAACAGGGATGTGGTGGCTGCTCCAACCCTGACAGTGTTCAAGGCCAGGCTGGATGGAGTCTTGAGTAACCTGATCTAGTGAAGAGGTGTCCCTGCCCAGGGCAGGGGGTTGGGACTAGATGATCTGTAAGGTCCATTCCAACCCTTAAATTCTATGATTAGGAAGAAGGTTTTCCCTGTGAGGGTGGTGAGACA